AAATGAAAGAAATTGAATTACTTTCTTGACAAATGAAGAAATTGTTGAGGAAGTGAGAAAATTCTTCGCAATGTCATCGCAACAAAGAGAAATTCTTCAGCGAAATAAATTCATATTTTCGTTGACGAAAATAGAAAAATTAATTTCAGTTAATATTTAATGCAAAATATTCGCTTTTACGATCTGTTTTTTTCTTCCCACAATTGCTATAATTCATTTTTATTATAAATAAATTTAAAAAAATTTTTTTTTAATATAAATAAATTTTTTCACTATTAATTATGAAGCGTAAGGTTTTTTAAAATAAAAATAGGCTGCAATTTAAATCACATCCTGAAAGCTAATTAATTATTAAAATTTCAAAATAATCAATTTTAAGTGCATTATCAAGTTGCTTCTGTTACACTTATGCATTGATGTAAGTAAATAAGCCTGCATTTTTAATTAATAAATAACTTAGAAAGTTTAATTATACTAAGTTAATTAATTAAAATCACTACTAAGTTAATTAAACAAAATCATTTTACAATAATTAGTAGCAGCAGAATATTTTATTGAATATTCCAATGAAAATATCAATAATAATAAATTCGTTATTATTCGATTTTAACATTTTTAGTAAATTTGAAATAGAATTTACCATAAATGAATGAAAATTTGCTCATTCCAAAAATCTAATCAATTATTGCATATATTATGCATAAGAAAATATAGTTAAATTGGACAATACATAAATTAGTTAGTGTACGTTTATATTTTCCTTATTTCTGCCTTTATTTCTAAAATATTTTTTGTCGCTTTTTTTACACGCAATATTATAACATTCCACGTTTACCGTATGCCTAACGTTCACAGTAACTTATCTTAAAGAGCTTTGAAGACTTTCATTAAATTTATACTAAATGATTATGCATTTCATCATGGAGAATGCTTAAGTATATAATTGTCTGTCTTAGTTCAATTCTTCCAACTTATCTTTTATTATCATTCCACAAAAATGTTTATTCTTTCTTTGATTAACATCATATGCCTGAAAATACTTTATTAATGCTATTGGCATAGTCTTACAATATTTTCGGATCATTCTGATAACATCTTTCAAATGCTGCTCTCATTCATAAATGGATAAAAACAAAGAGTAAACCGTAATCGGATAAATTGAATTATTCGATTAGATAAATTAAATTTTATTAAGGTCTTAAGAATAATGAATTGTAATATTTTGTACTATATATCAATAATCATATCAGTTATCTGCAAATTCATGTTCTAAGCTGGAAGTTAAATGCTTATCTCTGCTAAAAGAACAATGTGAAAAGAATTTGAAATATTGAAATTTCGATTTTTATAACGAGAAAAACGAGCTCATTTTTAATTCCATGTTTTGAATTCTCATGCCATTGCAAAAATTAGATGTTGACAACTAAAAATATGATGAATCATTGAACGACGACCATTGAAGTATGTCATCTGACTTACTAATTATTAAGGTTACATCATTCGTGATTGTCTAAACAAACTCTTTCTTTTAATTTTTTTTTTGCTCATTTCAATAACAATNCTAAAAATATGATGAATCATTGAACGACGACCATTGAAGTATGTCATCTGACTTACTAATTATTAAGGTTACATCATTCGTGATTGTCTAAACAAACTCTTTCTTTTAATTTTTTTTTTGCTCATTTCAATAACAATTGACAGCCTGTACAATTATTGATAGTCTTATCATTATTATTGCATTATCACATGTTTTATTGTTGTAATCTAATCAATTCCTTATTATCACTTTCCTCATCCATTCCCTTCGTTTAATGCAAAAAAAATAAAACTTATTACAAATGAAGTAGACAGTATGATAAATATCAGTAGACTTATATTATTTAAAGCTGGCAATATATTATCTTCACTTTTGACAAATTTATTTGGTAGTAAAATTAAAGATTTAACAAAGGTTGATGATGATATCTGATAGAACTTTTTAAAATTTGATAAGCATCCTTATCACTGATGAATGCATAATTACTTCTGTGGGCAGTCCAATAATTGATTGCAAATAATTGCATGCAATACTGATTTCAAAAAAAAAGAATTAGAGATACTATAAAAATTAATGAAAATATCAATAAATTATAAATCTTCCATTAAATGCTTATTGTTTGTAAATTATTAATAACAAAATTTTATTGTTTTATTTATGAAGTGAAAGACAAAGAAGCAAAATTTCATTAAAGAAATAATGCAACAAATTATCAAAAATTATTTGAACTTTCAACGCCATCTTCAAAAACAAAGAAATTAAGGTAAGATTTCAGGTGAAAGAGTAAAAAGTATAAAAAGCATTGATTAAAGCTATTTATACTCATACTTATTAATACTTATTGGCATTTTCTTTCATCTTTATTCCTTTCCTTAATTTTAGATGAAATGAAATTTGATCTCTTTATTCAAAATGCTTATATTTTCTCATATAATCTCTCATTCAAATATCAGCTTTTATTTTATCCCTTATTTATAGGTATTATTCTGGGATAGAAACATTAAACTAGCCTAATATCATTAGGAGTTGCTAGCTAGGCTATTTTCTTAATATCAACAGCAGCCAATAAGCATATGTGCCTTAGAATCTACAATTTTATTTTTGCATTACTATTATTTGATTTGATTGTTAGACGAAAATGTTTTATCGCATATTTATTTGTTTACATTTTTGTTCATTTTTGAAAAAGTAAGAATTATTTATTATTTAAATTAAATTACAACCAATTTTCTTAATTTTTAATTCAAATTTATCCGACCTTTTTCATTTTTTCCCATTTTTATTTTTAAATTAATTTCTTTTTTTCTTTTTTAAAAATATAATCAAAGCATACATAGTGAGATTAAAAGGTCACAGTAAAATTAACAGAAAAGGTTATCTTCTATGATATATCATTCATTATACACTTAATTTGATTTCATTCCATTCATGATAAAACTCTCGATTTAACTTACTAAATGAGATTTTTTCCATTCTGCAAAATTAGCATAAACAAACTAACAATTTGGAAAATCTCAGCCTTCATTGCTCTTATATCTATCTGTCTTAAAATCAGTACAATGATACAGCAGTAGAAAAACATCAAAATTAAAAATTGCAGCAACAAGAAGTGCTCAGATTTCATTTCAAATTTTATTCTTATTTAAAATAAGACAAATATAATATCTCGTATCATTTCATTTTATTAGAAGATATTAAATTTTAATTGTTCAGATATGTAAGCAATTTTTCATAGCGATACATCTCAATTATAACTATGTAATAGGTAGATTAAACGATATAATTTGACCTCTTGCACTTCAGTCTTTTTAAGAAGATTGCAATCAGAATAAGTGAATTCATTGAATAATCAGGCTCTGTAACAAACGTATTTTACACAAGCTAGCTTAACATCATTTAATCAATTTCTTCATAATCGAAATTGAACAAATGATAAATTAACTATACTTTTACATTTTGTACTCAATATGATTACACCTTTGCATTTAACCGGATTTGTCATCAGGTAAACAACTGAAAAGCAATTGCTTAGTTTCTCTCTTCAATCATTCATTTCTATGCAATCCTTCTGAAAATCGCTTATTTATTAGCTTTTATAACTTTAAGAAAGGAATGATAAAAAATGGTTAAGAGCAAAAAAAGGAAATAATTTCATTTTTCAAAATCATAGAAACAAAAGAATTTCAGTCTTTTCTTCGAACCTTACAAATATTCTTTATATTTAATAATTTAATATAATAGCAAATGGAAAATGTTCTCTTCTTTTCACATTATATATTATAACTTTTATTAAACATTCAAAATGAATCGATGAAATTTTGAATACTTTGAAATATTAATATTTATAGTAAAATTAAAATTAAAATAAACAAAATTGTAATTGCTAAAAATTCTATGCTAATGTCTATTTCTATTTCTATGCTTAATTCTCTTTTCACATTCTAATCATTCTTATTACAAATTACAATTATCATTTTGAGATAAAAATGATTGACAAATAAATTTAAAAGAAAAAAATTAAATTTTAATTGATATTAAAAGAAAAAGAGAATTACTCCTATCTATCGCTCTTTTATTTCCAATTAAAATATGAACAGAAAATATTTCACAATTTTATACTTTTATCTTTTTACAAATTTGTTTCAATCTTATAATACAGTTTATCTTCAGTAATTCCAAATTATCTAAGTGGATAACAGATGTGTTTCTTTCATTTATTTTATTATTACTTTTTCCATAATGTTAAATATATTAAATTATTTCAAATATTTTACTTTTTTTCTCTTACTCTCGTTTTTTTGCCAATTTTTTCAATGTTCAAATAAAACTCTGAAAAAAGTGGAAATTTAACTTTTGTAAATAAATTGAAGAAAGGAATAGCTTAAATTAATTTTAAACCTATCACAGAGAAAATGGATTATGTATAAAGATGGATTATTTGTCACTGATGATGTTAAATTTCTATTAATTGAAATTACTTTTAGCCTAATTTGCTCAAATTTAGTCCGATAATTCGTATATGATTGAAATTTATATCACTTCACTTATCATATCATTTCATTTTATTGTTATTATTCTAAAAAATGTTCTTTCCAATTGAGATAGTATTTTATGAAATCAAATCGAATTATCTTAGCTGCAACATTTCATTTTCATAATTAATCACTGTATTTCCCCTCTTTAAATAATTTTTGATTAAAAATTCAAAGAGAAATATTACTATAATTCATTCGTGTTTTAAAATTAAAATTTTCTAAATTAAAAAAGTTTTTTTTCTTCTAAAATCATTTACAGGTAAATAATAAGAAACAACGGGTTCATTTCATATCATCGCCTTAATGAGAAGAATTTTATTTTTCAATAAAATGAATAATGTGATAAAGTGAACAAAACAGTTTGAATTAAATATTTTTTACGGTGATAGTCAGCATATTTTTATTTCAACATTACTGATAATTGTATGATGGAATCAAATTTAATAAGCAATGGCAATGCTACATCATTTGATACTTCTACTTTTGAAGAAACAATTTCACAGTCTATTATGGCAATGTTGAATTTAACGAGAGAAGCGGATATGGTTGATGCAATTAAGGTAATCTGTGACATTCAATTTCATTTTTCCACTTGTTTACTACGTTTTTTTAATATCGTTGAAAATCTATTGACTTCCATTTTCTCATATATTAGCAATTAAAACTGGCAAAATGATATCTTTTCAATAACGTTGCTATAGTTTTTTTTCTGCATAATTTATGAAATGAAAATGTGATAAATAAATTTTCTTTCTTTTTCATTTCAGTCATTCAATCATTCAGTAAAATTTATATGTTACTTATTTACTCCAGTAAATATTTTAATTAAAAACTGATATGCTTAAAATATTATAAGGTATAGAAGATTTTTTGCATAATTTTATAATCATACAAATTACAATGATTTTCATTATGCATTATAAAAGTATAAATTGATTATTGATTAATATAATTGATTTGTGATATATCTGATTTCATGTAGTATGAGAAAATGAAAATATCAATATTTTACTACAATGTCGAAAATTCCCCAGAAACATTAAATACCTTTTGGAGGATTAAAACGGGGAATAAATATTTTTGAAATATCTCTATTAAAGAAAAGCGAACTAAATTCAATTAATAATTAGAGGAATTACCAATCGTAGCACAAATAATGAATATTTTGACAATCAACCAGTTATTGTTAGTTGGCCTATTAATTTCTTGGCCAGAAAAAATGGAAGAGAAAGCTAATTTTTATTATTTCAATGAGAAGTAATAAGAAGACAAATATTAAAAGTAAATTTAATTAAGACTATTCAACCTAATTAAAAAGTTTCGAGAGATAAAATATTCACTACAATGATTTGTATTTCTATATTTTTCCACAATATAATTTCATTCAATGCTTCCATTCCATAAAAAATTCATTTTTAATTTTTAAATTTAATTTTGCACATTCTAACTCATTTAGTAAACTGTCAATAATTTTTTATATTGTTCACAATTGTTTTACTTATTAACTTTTGCAGATGTTTGCTTCGTTTTTTCCCTTTTCCATTTAAGCTTTATGAGAAAATTGTTTTTGCATATATTCTATTTTTTTATTTTTTCAAATGAGCACAATTAGAAAGAATAATGAAAAATTGATTGGAGCAAAAGTTTTATTTAAAAGTCAATCGTCAATTTACTACCTCATATTTTGTATTTCATTTAATATGGAATATTAATATAATTTTTATGCTAAGAAATAATATAATAATTAATAATAATAACAATGATAATAATATTAATAATAATAATGAATTTTATAAAAGAAAACGTGAGTGATTAATTTGTTTAATTTAAAAAAAAACAATATTCGATTGATATATTTATGTTTCACTGATGAATTAGGATTGTTTTTATTGACAGTTTACTTGAAGAAGAAGAAGAAGAAAGAAAAAGTTCACATTAAATTATTTTGTATTAATAATCAAAGGAATAAATAAAATGAGAGAAGAAACGATCGATTTGTATATTTTACAAAGTTTGAAAAGATTCAATTCATATAAATTAAATAGTAAATGAATTAAGAAAAGATAATTTTAATGTATACTTCTTAGATCACACAATCAATTTAAATTAATTTAATTAAATTAAGCACAAATTTATAGATGGCAACTATTGGAGCAGTTTTAGTTGTACTCATTATGGCATGTATCACCGGTAATTTATTTGTTATTATTGCAATTCTTATTGAGCGTGATCTCAAAACTCGGCCGCAATATTATCTTATATTTTCGCTCGCTATTGCTGATTTATTAGTTAGTTTGAATTTTAAAAAATTCCCTATTACTTTACATTAAAATTAAATTTTTACATTATGAAATAAAGCACTTTTTCATACGAAATTAATTCCTTTATATTTATTTATTCGATAATTAAATTTCTCCTTCTTTTGATGATAGCATCATTTGATGTTATCAATTGTTGCATAACGATGTAAGTTAGATATCAAGATTAGGTAAATGATAACTTCAAATATTTCCTTCAAGACAGATTTCACTTATTTTTTTTTTGATTTTTAGGTGGGTGTAATAGTGACACCATTGGGTGCCTGGTCAACAATAACACGTGCATGGACATTTGGAGTAGAATTGTGTGATTTCTGGATTAGTGTCGATGTATTAGTCTGTACAAGCTCAATTCTTCATTTAGTAGCAATAGGTATTTCTTGATTTTATATTATTACATATTAAGAAAGGAAGTTTAAATTTTAAAGTAAATCATTTTCCAGCATTAGATCGTTATTGGAGTGTTACGGATGTGTCCTATGTGCAGAATAGGACACCACATCGTATATTTATCATGTTAGGCATTATTTGGCTCTTATCATTACTCATTTCATTGGCTCCAATGTTTGGCTGGAAAGATAGTGATTTTTATCGACGGGTGATGGAGCAACACGTGTGCCTTATTAGTCAGCAAATAACTTATCAGGTAAATTATCAGGATTTTTTTCATTAAGAGCTTTCTTCTCCTTTTTAATTATTATATGCTTTATAAGTGTAAATAAAAATACAACTTAATTGACATATTTCTTGCCTGAGTAATGCCTTGCCATATTTGTGAATTCTCTCTCTCTCTCTCTCTCTCTCTCTATCGAAAACTGATCATTTTTTCATTTCATTAACTCCATGAAATAATAACATTTACATAGTTAATTAATTCTTCGCCATTATTACTATTATCAAATTCTTCGTTATTCAGGGAAAGACAATAAAATGAAACAAAGTAAAACATTGGGAATTGTACATATCAAAGTTTATTTACATCTAAACAAATGAATATACTCTATGCTTGACATGGAAAACATTTCTTTCTAACATTTTCAAATATTTTTCTCTTTCTTTTATACAACTGAAAAGTATAAATAAAAATGATACATGGAAAGGATGAAAGGAATAAATGATAGGATAGGATGGATCCTAATGGGAAGGTATTCCGGATCGATCCTTAACCATATTTTCCTTTCAATTACAATTTTTCAACTGATATTTTCTTCTTTAATGGAAAAAAAGTTAAGGGAAATGATTTGCAATTAAAAAAAGAAAAGAAAAGAGATGAGATGGCTTTGATAAGAAGGATTAAAAATTTATCGATCATTTAAAATATTAACAGTAACCACATTTGAGCACATAATTCTTTTTTGAAGTATAACAAAATGAACTTCAAAATATTCTCAAAAAAATTCAAAATTATTTCTTCTGGATATTTGGATATTGAGTGATGAATGTTATCTCTCCCAGAAATGATGTATTTCAAGGTTAACTCAATTCCTATTTATGACTTCTGATATGAAGAGCTAATGCAAAACATTTAGACAAGATTGGAGACATTAAGAATGATCAGATATAGTTCTGTGATAGGAAACAATTTGCAATCATAGCAATCAAAAGAAATGATTTCTTTAACTAATGGATGATTATATTATGAAATGATTTACAGAAAGAGAATTATTTTTAAAAAATTTCATCATTTCTTTCTTTTCTAGAAATGAACAAAAAATTTTCAATCATTTTGAAAGAGTGTATCTCCCAATTACTGTTAGAGTGGAAAAACATAATATAAGGTATTAAAGAAATAGAAGTAAATGCGACAACTGTCAAGAATTAAATTCAACTACCTGTTTCATATATTCCAACACAGATGTATACTACTTGTTTCACTTTTTTTTTCATGTCGAGTCATCTTTGTATAAGTATATTAAGTAAAGCGTAAATCAATTACAGATATTTAGTACGGCAACTGCCTTTTACATACCATTATGCGCTATCATATCTATCTATTACAAAATTATGCGTGCTGCAAAAAATCGTTTCAAACGTGAACGTGAGCGCCGTAAACCTGCCATCCATTCAGATAAGGATGCAAAGTATCAAGAGAAACATGAAAATCTTCGAAAGGTGAGCCTATTTTTTATTGTTCAACTAGTTTTAAATAAGTTTTTAACTTAAATTTAAATTATTTTGACCTTTTATTCCGGAAATATTACACATTTCAATGATAGTTAGAACAAAAGTAACACCAATCATAACAAATGGTGATTTGGTTTAATCTGAAATGAACAAAAGTTATGAGTTATGCATCAATTCAACAATTTAGACAAACAAAAATTCATGCTATCATTTTGATGATCATTTAATGCATATATTTGTTATCATCAAATATTATAGTCAAAAATGGAAACTAATCCAGATATGAGGAATGAAAGTGAAAAAGTTTCTTCAATCATTACAAATCCAACGTCTAACAAACAACTCTCAAGTGATGCTGCTGAAACTTGCCTGATTCAATCCAGTTCAGAATCAAGTCCATACAACTTTTTTATCTTTTAAAAAGATTTCTATTATTAATAGGCTAAAACCATCTAGTTAGCAGTTTCATTTGGTGGTTGAAATAATAATCTTTTCCAAGTGAGAAAACAAACGTATCAAACACATCAAATAGTATAATCAAATACTCAACAGAAAATTAGATAAATTAATGATAAAATTGATTTAATAGAACTTTTATTGCTTTACAAAAAATTTTGCACAAAGTAAAATTAAAATTTATACAAAATAAAATTAAACTTAGATAAAATGTGTTACATTGATAATCTCATAGTGAATGGTAAAAGTCGACAGAAAAAACTAAACGCTTCTCTGAAGAGGAAGGGATACTTCAAAGAAAATGCAGAAATGAAGCATGAACGTAAAGCATGGCGTACGCTTGCTATTATTACTGGAACATTTGTTGCCTGCTGGACGCCATTTTTTCTCATATCTTTATATCGACCGATATGTCGCTGCAAGATACCAGCATTACTGGAGTCGATTACCAGTTGGTTAGGCTAGTACTAATGAAAACTTTATTAATCTTAATTTAAAAGGAGTGGTATTATATATATTCACTAAAATCTACTTTTATTCAAATTACAGGTTACTTAAATTCAGCACTTAATCCGATCATTTATACCGTATTTTCGAATGATTTTCGAACAGCTTTCAAACGTATCCTTGCTCGATTGCTATTTCTTAAAATGCCACGACCACAATACCGATAACAACGATAATGACTGAAGCCTTGAGACCTCCAATATCAGCATTTCTTTCCTACGTGGTGTGCTTTAATAGTTCGCTTTGCAAATTACAGTATTGTGTGCACTGATCTGTGTTCATATGTTCGTATATGTTCCAAGATCTCTACCGTACAATCTCTACAGCCCAATTTCTTCATGGGGATGAGATTGATATTTTCTTATAGAACTGATATGGATGATCTTACTGAGAAGAGAGACAACAGATAAAAAAAAGATAAGAAAGCACAACAGGTCATATTCAGGATCATTGGAATATGAGGGGGTGTTACTATGTATACATTAGACTGATCGTTAATGTAAACATTACATATGTCCCTTTTGAAAAAATCGTTGATTACTGACTAGCAAGCAAGAATCAAAGATAAAACGGATCCAAAAAAGAAAAAAAACTCCCATATTACAAATCCAAACATTAATCATAACAATTGCTAAAGGTTGCAAAATGGAACGAAAACTAAAACTGTTAAATGTCATTCAGTTGATGTCTGACAAAATCCGGAAAATAATATTGCACCTAATAAAAGCTCTAAAAATATATGGACCTTTTCGTAGATCAACACCTTGGACACTCATTGACTGGATCTTCAAATTAAACCAGAAATAAAAATTTCGGGTTAAATTCAACTGGAAATTTTTAAAAAATTCATCCTTCCGCATTATAGCATCCACCTCATAATAACACTTTTCTACTCTTATTCAGATAGAAACGAAATGGAAAAGAATTGGACCAGTCGATATATTTTTATCCCTAATTTGAAGTAATTCTAAAATGGGTATTGGATAAGCAAACATTTTTATGCTAATTTTAACTCATTTTTCCTTGATGTTAAAAAAGTAAACAAGTAACATAACCGTTTCAAATTTTAAAGGCAAAAAAATGACCTGCTGCGACAACACAAACAACATCACACTATATGTGAATATTATTTCCAGAAAGAAACAAAGCAATAAAAACCAAATTGAGCTTACAAGAGAATACAAAATTACAAATCAAAGCAGTAAGATCTCTTTCCCTAACTTGAAAGTAACCGCTTCTATGCATATTATGCATATTTTACTTAGTTGCACCTTTTCTCTAAGACACAATGTGACGTTCGGCAGTGATCTTACAGCCAAAAATTAGCACGTCATCCTAAAAACGTTAATTTTTTAGAGTACAGTTAAATCGAAATATATTATGGATCCTGTTAATTTTTATAGAGAAAGGCTTTTTTTAAGAACATAGTTACGTCCCGTTCTATTGCCCGAGTTTTTCTCTACCAGTCTACTTCATAACTCATAAAATCAACTGTTTTGAACTAACTGAAAATTTTATGACGAAAAAAGAATAGGATAAAGCTAAGATTATTTTAAAACAAAAAATATTTGGTAATGGCCTTCTGTAGGAACAAATAAAGAATGGAATGTAGAATGAACACCAGAACAACAGAACGTTCCACACATAAACCGGCAGACGTTCACAGACACACAAAATCAGTACCAAGAGGAAACAAAAGGTAAAAAGCAAAAATAAAATCGGCATTAAATTGATTAATTAATTTAGTACCGGAAAATCCTGAATGATTAGTCATAAGATCCTAAAATTTGACTTAATTTGACCTATGGTGCATTATTAGTGATGCCTAAACACTACTACAGTTATAGAAAACTTCGTGCATACCACAATATTGAAATGAGAAATATGGTTGAGTTACTCTTAAAATCCATGGGACGGTAACCATTATTTCCTGTTATCTATTATTGCGGCCAAACTATAGCTCATAAATTTGACAATATTCAAAATCTTTAAGAAAAGTTTCAAATTCTAAATTAAATTAAAAAATTTTCATTTAAGAACTAAATTTCATAAACAATAAAGAAAAGAAGAAGTCCACAACATGTGCTGCAGATTAGCAAAGTGCAACATATCTCTGCAACTTATCATTTTACTGATCGACCCAATCCGAGGGTACCCATGCTGGCTCATGCTCTAGTTTGTTCGCTATATTCCGTAATTGTTCGAATGAAGCTTCGAAATTAGCATTTATCAACACATGATCAAACATATGTCCGTAGATCTGAAAAAGCTGTTCACCAGCTGAGATCATTTGTTCAAATTCCGAATCTGTAAATCCACGACATGCTACTGGTGCTGATGTACTAACACCAGCATGGTGACTAAGATTTGTAGCTTGCAAATTTCGTGCACGATGTTGGCGCCGAGTTTCCTATAAAGATATACAATAACTCAATATCCATAATATTTGTAAGATTATCTGTACAAATTAATGAAAACAAATCTTATAATGAAAGTTGAAAGAATTTCAGTCAAAATCGACTTGTCAATTAGTCAATTATTTGAATAGTCATATGCAAATGCAAGTAAAAATTGGTCAAAAGCAATGATTTCCTGCCGTTATATACCTTTAAAATATCAAATGGTGGTGGTTTAACAAAAATAACGAAGGACTTGAACATCTTAGAGCGCAAAACCCGCAATGCCAAAGGATGAGTGTTCAATACAGGTGTACGACCTGCAAATGAATAGTATAATAACGTAATGATAATATTTCTTTTAATAGTCAAAACTGTTGTGTGTCTTTCCCACTTCCGATAAAAATATGAATATTTCACCATTAACATCGTACCTTGCTTGATAACAGCATGAACCGAATCAGCAAGTGTGCCATATAAATTTCCTTTATATTCTCCATATTCCAAGAATCGTCCTTGTCTTATCCATTGTTCCATACTGTCGCGTTTTGCGAAATGGTAATCAATACCATCTTTTTCATACGAACTGCAACCTATTGCTGATTGTTGATTGTTTCGTTTTATGAATTTCTTAATCAGTAGTTTCTGTTACCAATTTCTGCTCTCCTCATAGTCTTTCTTATACAATTCAAAATAAAACATGAATAAACAATACTGACTAATCATTTCCTCAGATTTTTCATTTCAATGAGTGGTAGTTACAGCGAATATGCAATCGGAAACATGACATATAGACGATCTACATCAAAGGCAAATTAAAGCCAACAGTAATTCTGATAAAGGCACTCTTGCTACTTGAAATACTTAATGTTCAGTTTAGTTGAACAACTGTGGAAATTTTCAATGTTTCTTAAATGTTGTCAATGAACTGTTAAGAAAACTATCTATGGTAAAACATTCTGTAAATAAAACGAATATACCGTTGAGGACGACTGGTATGGGGTACACTTGCTGCATAATGATCACTGTTAGTAGCAATTAGTCGTTTTTTCAGTTCATTGCGTCCAACACCTGGAGGTCCGATTAAAACAATAGGACGGATAAGAGATTGTTTTGGATAAAGCAGTGATACTGATTCATATAATAAGCTGTCAATCTAAAATTAAAATAACTAAAATTAAGATAAAACTTAAACTGAAAACACATAAAGTATAAAAAGAAATAAATTGCAGGAAAAACAGAGAAAAGTGTTAACTTCGAATGGCAATAAAATCGCAATACTTGATGGTTAGCACAATGTTATACGAGTTAAAAACAAAAAAAAACAAAAATTAGGGTTTCATTATTGCATTGATGATAACAGAAGATTATTGCTGCATGCTGCAAAAAATATTAACATTTATAGTTTTTAGTAAAAAAAAAAAAAAAAAAACCTCATTGCCAGTTTTCGTAGATTTTCGATTTGCACTCCTAAACTTTTCATTTTCCCTTAGAGTTTGATGTTTTTGTTGCAATTCTTCCGATGGAATAACACCCACCCGTTTTTTTAATTGATTAGCTGAAGTAGTTTATCATTAATTTTTTCCTTAATGAAATATGCTATATAAAAATTTCCCGAATATAAGTAGAAAGACACCGTTTCAATCAAACAAACTGCAATGCGTGATGGATATAATTACCAGACGCTAATGGAAGAGTCGCAAATGAGCCATGTCCGAGTGAACGTGCTTGCCACCAATGTTCATCTCCTGTTATCACTAACTCCAATATTTCTCCTCGGGTGAAACAAAGAGCTGCTTCAGGACATGGATGCAAGGAATCTCGACTACCAGAATAATCGATCTATAATTAAGATCTCTACTGAAATCATCTGATTCATCATCTAAAATGTTATGTTAAGACACACCAAATGTTTCACATCTTCCTCCCTTAACTGTGAATTAAGAAAAACAATTCTTTCAAAATCTTTTCTATCATTGAAATATCCTTAGCTACCAACCAAAAGGCACAACAGCAGACGTCAAACATAGAACAAAGAAAGTGGATGAATTTAAACATTACCAAAGCACGAACGTGCCGTGATTCATTCCACGCAATAACTGCAGGTATTTCGGCTGGTTTTAATTTAAAAGTGACGGTACTGTTTTCATTATTTTCGTTACCCAACAGTTTGACGATTTCATTTGGGCTCATGCCCGTAACACAAACACTGTTCACTTCCAAAACTTGATCTCCAACCTATAAAAAGTGAAAATAGTTTATACAAGATAACTTGAATGATTTTATCAATCATGATTTTTTGTTGATGGATCTCTTGTTGATAAATCCATTTCTCATATGGAAAAAACTGAAGACACAGAATCATTTGTAGATCTATGATACTTAAATGCATTTGACATTTTAGAATCAAAACTTTTTTCTATTATGCCAGTAGTGTGCCGACTATCAGCCAATGGATAAAGAAGAATAACAGAACATCATTTCAATATGTTTTGTGTATTTTGAGATCGTCAAAAATTATGGGTGAAAGGAGATGTCACTAACAACGACTTTTTATTAAATTAAGTGATAATATCTACTTCGTTCTAAAGAAAATATCCAAACCTGAATATTGCCGCTACGATCAGCAACTCCTCCAGCTATAACACGAGCAATATACACTCTTCCATCAGCATCACATTTTATGGTAGCACCAAGTGCTTCATTGCCTTTTACCAGTCGAACTAGTTTAACAGCAATACCATCATCGTCATCAACTTCATACGGTATTTCCGGTAATTGTGGCAAATAGGTGCGATTTGAAGTAATATCATATATGCAGAATAAACTCTAAAATACTAAAAGCAATAATGATAAAAAATTATGATTACTTAATAAAATATGAGAAAACATACATTCTACGACAAATATGCTTGATACAACTATGTTCTGATCAGACTGCATGTCCACATCCACAAAATCTTATACTCAAAATGTTACTGATCAGATAAAATTTTAATTCCCGTAAAAGCCAATTAGTTTAGCCACCTTAATAATAGGCTTGGAGAGAAGTGAAACAAGCTGTTGCACTGCCACCGATGGCGGCGCTGATTCTTCCCATTCATACAACAGCGAATCAACTAATTCGGTTAATATGTTATCCCTGAAAACCGAATTTTTATTACGGTCAACATTTTTAGATTTATTTACAAAATATCGAACAAAATGCACCTTATTTAAATCAGAAAATCTGTTCTAAAATTTTTTCTATTTTCTGTTTTTTAACAAGTAACGCACTTCCCGAAGAATAAGAACTCCGGTTTAGTGAAGTCAATAAAATTCAATTAAGATACCCAATTCGAGAGAGGTGTAAACTGCGATTGATCAATATTTTATGGATTATAACCACACGTTTGAGATCATCAGCTGTTAAGCGTTTCTTCCGTTTACCAAATTCATCCTCAACACATTCCAGGATACATTCATACGCTTTCGCAAAAGCTTCAAACGTGACAGGCGTTGTATCCATCCGCCGTCGCATGTGATAACTAATCAAACATCGCCAATAATTCAATAAATCTTTGCCTAAATCTGAAACTTACGGCATATTAATGAAATTGTCAAGAAACGATGTAATTATGTACCATAATTGTTAGAGGAAACGTTATTGAAGCTTTTGTACAGTGTAACTACGTATAATACATGTCCGTGTAATCACAACCAGAGACGATCGATTCTTTCATCTCATCACTAAAACAACTCAAAAAACACGAACTCCAATTTTCCCATTATGGTAAATTATTGTGAATAGCCACAGAGAAGCATTCTGGAAATGCTCGTACACTTTTATAGCTTAACATGTGCACAACCTGGTACAAAATCTTTGCACCCAATATAAGAGTAATTTGCAATGTCCGGATATTCTCCTGAACCTATTCCTCAAACCACGCTATCAGCGTGCACTATTATCGCACATGCACGAAATGAAATTTTTAAAATGTTTCGGCGAAAATGGAAGTAATTGGGAACCCGGGTTTTTTAAACTTAAATTGAGATTTAAAAACTGTAATAACAAAATTATGAATTATTTCAAAATGGTAACTAGAAGCCAAATTAATTTTTCTACCTGTTATGGAACGGTTGCTTCGCTTAACCGGTTTTAATGGTGTATGTTACTCTAGGTCATGCAATTTCATTGATTTTGCTTTAATCTGATCTCTATTGAAATTGGTATAGAATATGTAAGATTATACGTGTATAACTTTTAATAAAATCACTGTTTAACAACTAAGCCACAAGTTTAGTATAAAGGGTACTTCAGGCTCATATTACATAGCCATGTCCCGCATGATCATATTTAATTCACTTCAAACTGAAAATACATTATGGCCAAAATCATTTTCTTCTTTATTCGACCTAAAATTTCCTGTTGCGTTATGTTTGAAAAGTGCAACAATTAGAAGATGAAAGTTTCAAGAAGCCGAAAACATATCCTAATTTGAAACTTTCTTCCCCAATGAAACAATTATTCACATAATTATAGGCCTAGATAGATTTTATTCCACTTTTAAACTGAAATAAGAAGTGACTATGAAGTATTAAAATGGGATTATTATTATGTGTGTCAACTACGCATGCTGCAGTTACCGAAAGCAGCGCCTCAAGATGTGCTAAAACATCCGGATACCGGTGAAACCCTTTACGTATCGTCACTTGCTCTTCTCAAAATGCTTCGACACGGTCGAGCTGGTGTTCCTATGGAGGTAATACAATGTAATTTTAATGTAGCTCGGAGATGTTCTGCAAATTAACCATTATTAATTATCACGTGTTTAAAATATATTTCATTATCTATGGATAATGACAAATCATAAGAAAGAACTAATGCTAGATTCTTCGAGATAAAGGATCGCTCGTTGTGTTATCGGATAGACAATTAAATTTATCGCGATAATCGAATTAATAGGATTAGAATTGTATCATTGAATGATACTTAATAAAAATGAAAAAAATCAATTGATTAGGACTGTGAAGATGTAGACAAGGATAAAAAGTGAGGGATAATGATTTGATAATGATAATAATGATAATGATAATGATGATGATAATAATGAGGGATAATAATTCTTATTAATTACAACATAACTTTTATAGAAAGATCTCAATCATCAAGCGCTTAACTTCATTTCAAATTTCAATAGTTTTAATGTATGTAGTTTTAATGTTAATGTATGAATAAAGATCGATTCATATGATTGATCGTGGACCATTTATTCAATTTGATAATTATTATCAATTACAATTATCTTAGGTGATGGGCTTAATGTTAGGCGAATTTGTCGATGATTTTACGATCAATGTTGTTGATGTGTTTGCTATGCCACAATCTGGAACAGTATGGAACAAAATCTCCTTTGAAAAATACTGTATAAAAAAGGGTAGAGGAGAAGATGCCAAAAGATGAGGACCAGGAAGCGGATACGAGGGTGGGGGAATCCAGTCCGGTAAAAATAAAATGAGACAACGATAAAAATTTTAAGGATTTTAAATGAGAAGGGAAAGATTTGCTATTTTTCTACCTCCCAAATTTATTACTGAAACGGTTGCAGCATTTCTTAATTCCATGTTTTTATTATTATGTGGGCTGTCCATGTTAACTAATTCAAGAAAAAAGCGCTGAGATCTTGATGTACATTGACTTTCTTCAATAATCAGTAAATTTTGGGGCGTATCTGTGGAAGCGGTTGATCCGGTATATCAGACTAAAATGTTGGATATGCTACATCAAACGGGACGTGCTGAAATGGTTGTTGGTTGGTATCATTCACATCCAGGATTCGGTTGTTGGTTATCCAGTGTTGATATTGCTACACAAAGAAGTTTTGAAGCGCTCAATGATCGTGCTGTTGCTCTCGTAATCGATCCAATACAATCGGTAAAAGGAAAGGTAAACGGTGTTTTCATCATTGAATCATTGAAAGATATTGCCACATTTGAACTGTTACTTTCAGGTAGTAATCGATGCATTTCGTACTATTGGACCGAATTCTTTGGAATTCAGTTTTCTGGAAGGTATTCAAAAGACACTAGCACCTACTCAAGAATCACGACAAACCACTTCGAATTTAGGACATCTGATGAAACATTCCATCGTTGAGCAACTTCATGGACTCGGCAAAAGGTTTCTCGTTAGCGGTTTTTTTCTTCATCAGATTAAAATAAGAATTTATAATTTTCATTTAAATTTTACGAATTTTTTAAAATATTTGAAGAGGTTAAAGGTTAGCGCTTAAAAAATACAAAATAATTTAAATGAAAAAGCTTTTCTATTTATTATTTCACTTATAGCTCTGTTCTTTTGAATTTCACTAACATTATTAAATTCAAAATACTCTTTCATTGAATGATTCAGTGCTTAAAGAAGTTCTAACTTTTTTTGTTTCTTAAATTTTAGCTATTATTCAATAACGATAAGCTTCAAGCTAACAGTTAAAGAGCAGCAAATGCTGCAAAGTTTACATATGAAAAATTGGGCGGAAGGATTACAATTGAATAGCTTCGAGAAGATAACAAAAAACAATTTAACAAATATGCAAGAAATGGTTAAAATGATCAAACTCTACAATAAAGTAATATGAATTTTATTTCAAATTTATATTAATCTAATTTTAGTAAAAGGAAGAATTGAAATAAAAAGAGTCTTAAGAACAATTAAATGACTTTGGATTAGTTTGCAATTCATCTATGTTTGGGAAATCAAAAAGTTTTGCAGAGAATTTAGCAATTCAAATATTGCTACCCTTTCAAAGGGCTAACATAGAAATTAAGGTTAGGCCTTGTTGAGATGAACTTACTTATACCTTCTTTATTATGATAACAGTGCATCAATGTTACCAATCAAAACGCTAAGATTGTATTGTTTATTATGAATTAACTTTCTGCTGTGAAAATTTCTTTCTTCCATAGTTATTAAATCTTTAAATTTTATGGCTTTATCATTTATAAAATAAAATTTTAATCTCTCGTTTATCTTATTAGGGGTTTGACTGGACATATAGTGGAATCGTTTACGAAATATTTCGAAGGAGTTAATTATTTTAATCATTCTTAGACTTGACTTGAAATCAGTTCATATACGATTAAATTTATAACAACTGACAGTTCTTTATTAAAATCAGGAAATATATGTATTATCGAAAAAGCCATACGATGAAATTGGAATGGAAAGTAAAACGGAGAAATCGAAACGAATAGAAAGCAAAACAGAGAAGTCAAAAACATTATCAAAAGCTGAAATTGAAGCCAAACAAGTTGGTCATTTCGATCCAAAGCGACATCTGGCCACTATTGCAAACGACTTGATGAAGGATAACATTGTACATGAATTGCGCTCAATGATCGATGCAACCGCCTTTCAGTAGTCATCTTCCAAAATATATCATATTACAATTTCTGCCTTTTTCGAACATCATTTTACAAATTCTATGATTTTATATGATGTATGCAATATCTGATTTTCAACTGCAATTTCACTGCAATAAAACTTCAGAATGTATATCTTAAGGGCTTAGCAATCATCACAATTACCGCCATCATAGAAAAAGCTCAATGCTTGAAGATAATTGTTTTAACATCCAATCGATGTTAAAGCCTTTCAGTGATTACATAAATATACATTTATTCTCATCTCCCATAAAAATTAAAGGGTAAAACTGAAGCTCTGATCTTCAATTCCTTTCTTTATATGCTAATTTTAATCTAAACTTGAGATTGAAATTGAGATGATTCTATTATTTGGGTTATAGTTCCTCCAAATGAATATATTCGTAATTATCGTATTCTCATTTATACATAATATAAATATCATTGCTTTTCAAACAAGTAAGTAACACAGATAATAAAAAGCAGGTTGGAAGTTACTTCTAGTTACTCAAATGACTAATGAAAAGAAAAGCCTGAATTGTAAGTCAATTCAAGAATCAGGATAATTCATCAGGAAAAAGTTTATCACAAAGTAGTGGTTTTCCACTTATTTTACATTTTTCTAAATTTACGATATTACTACTTATTGAGAGTAAAATTTTAAACAGAAATGCTAAGAGAGAAAGAAATATTGGATACACTTTGATTTTACATAGAGCAATATTATTCTTATTATTTGATACTTATCAATCAGCAAACTGATCATTTTACAATGTAAAAAATTTTGGACATTACGATCGTCATTTATAATATTTGTGGAACTTTAATGATAGAAGAAATTGTATTAAATGTTTTGAAGATTCCAAAATTAAACTTATCAAATTCTCATCAATTACCTCGATCATAGGGAATACTTCAAAAAAGGTAAAATAAAATATTACTAAGGAACCAATTTGAATGATTAGTACATAATACGTAACAATGTTATTTAGAAACGACACACTTCAAGAGATTTACGGTTTCTTAAAACACCAAATGATTTTTGGAAGCTTTTTTTAAAACTTTTGAAGAAATTATCCGAGCAATTCTCAGGAACTGTATCGTGCACATCAACTCGATTAGTATTCTAAAATTGAAAATTAATTTAAATAAATAAGAATTTTTAAAAAATACTTAGAAATAAAATTTTGATAATTGAAGCGATTATATCTTTCATAATCTTAACTGAGACCTATATCCTAAATTATCTTTATTAATCTTAATAGTTTTCATTTTACAATATATCTTTTATTCTTAATAAAAATTTTATGCAAAAAATGAAACGTTATCAAACGCGAACTTTTTCATTTGGGTCAATGTACTCTCTTCCATTCAGTTGCATACACGGTGATGGGTCATTCATATCTGAAGGAGATCATATTATTGAATAGTGATATTTGATAATGATATACATATCAAATATGAGCTACTGCTTAATTACTATCCTAGAGTTATACTCTTAATTAACATCTTTACTACGATATTATAACTTTCATCCAGCATGATCACATTTTGTTTATGTATATATTATTTTTGATTTAACTTGGTTTATTCCACCTCTATTGAGTTTAATAAAAATTTAATACATATTAATTCAATATAATGTAGGTGCAAAGTTTCATATAATTGAAATGAATTTAAAGTTTAATCAATATGAATTCAAATTTTGATTCTACTCTTTATTGCAATCACTATTACTCTTCCTAATTGCATAGTTTTAATTGCAATTGAAAGAGGTAAATGAAAAATTCAATTTGAATTTGAACTGAAATATATCAGTAGACTATGGATAAAAATACTACAATGAGATTATAAGTTAAATTTTATTATTGATTTATATAGTAGAAATACTGAAAACAGATAAGAAATTTTTAACACTAATTCAACAGAAGCAGGAAATGAGAAACTGATTTTTATGAAGCTCAATTGGAAAACAATAAAAATTAAATTGGCAATAATAATATTATCATAACAGGGAAGATAATGTTTTATGTTAGATGAATAAAAATGCAACTGTAATTAGTAAATTCAAATAATTTCAAAATTTTTTTAGACAAGGAAACTATTATTCTTTCATTAAATTTTTTATTAATATTCATAATTTATCTATTTCTTTTGTTTCTATTTTTTAAAAATTTTTCTTCACATTTTATTTTACATTAATTATTTTTAAATTCATTAATTCTTCTTTCCCTATTAGATTTTCACAATATTATTTTAGTATATCGCGTTATTTTTGCCACTTTAATAGTGACAAAAGAAAGGACAATGTTCTCAATTAAGAAACTGCTCTGTTTAATTAATTCAATTCTTACCTATGAACTTCTAATCTGGTCATATATCATCATTCTTTCTTTTATGAAAAAAAATTTTCATAGTTTTGTAAATTATTTCAAAAATACTTACAGCCATTGGAAGTTGATTTTGAGGAGGATCCATTGGTTTTCTGAAGTGATCCTACATTTCTAACTGGTAGATTGATTACATAACGATATTCGGTATCATTTATCGGCTACAATATAAAATAAAATATATCCGTCCTATAAACTAAATAAAGAGTAAAACCGGAAAATGTAAAAAAAATAAAATATACCTGAAAAAGATTGCGCACATGAGAACGACTATTCCGCCTGCGTCCTGATGGAGCGGTTTGAATAGATTTCGTTGTTGGTGCAAATGAAACCATTTTGGAGGAATCTATCGTACGGTTCCGATTTGGACTATATGTATCAGTCTTCAAAATTCCCTGCATATTACCTATAAACTAGATTATTTTTAATAATAACAAAAATAATTATGGAATGTTTTCATTCGTAGTGTTACTTATTGTATTCTTAAACTGACAATTGACCTTTTTCGTAATTGACAGTGACAATTGATCGTAGCAACAACGAACAAATAGCTATTTTTTTTCTCCTCTTATGTCCGATATATGACCACTCATCAACAGTTGATGATGGATAGACAATACTAGTGATATGATTGGTAAATAATATGAATAAGAAACTACCAGATAGATAATATTAGTGATATGATCGACAAATGATATGGATATGATATAAATGCCAAGTGCATTGAGAAATTAATAAGTTTTGAGAAATTTCAAACAAAATTAGCAATGATTTAAAAGAGGAATAGAAGTTAAATATAGAGAACTGATATAGACTAATTTAAAGAAATGATGAAAAGGAACATATTAAAATTTGCATCAGAATTTATCAAATTATAATAAATCCAAACTGTGGAAAAAAAACAGTCGGAAATATGATCAGTTGTTTACCGTTGACCTGAATTTGAATTTCATCGTATAATCGGCGACCATTCATTCGTGATAAAATTACTACATCCGGATGATCCGGTTCAACGATTAGTCTTATGGAAGAAACAGCAAATTCGCCCCATTGTTCTGTAAAATAATGAACAAATTATCTGCAGTTCATCTTTATCCATTTATTTCACATGCAAATTTCAATTCGAAGAGTACTTAGGCAATTTTTTTTCTATTCATTTTAAATGTAACAAATTGCCGGAAAAAAAGTTATCCAAATTTTGTAAAGAGTGTAAGGGGAAAAACTGCTAACATTTTCAAGGCCATCGATCTGTTATTGGCTTGTGGATTGATGGCCTTGAAAAATGAATAATTTGAAATGATCTACTAAAATTGATTGGTCAAATTTATACAATTCTTAAGTGAGAATTTAAGATTCTTCAAAATATTTCATCATTTAAAATTAAGTGAAGTGAACGAACCACAATCAGCAATTTGCAAGCCAATAGCATGCCGCCATGCAGCAATATCTTCTTCACTATCCGATGTCAAGATGAATCGTTTATCTCGTTTAGTGTCATCCAAATAACAATTTGAGGTAACAATGATACTACGATGATGTTTACATGCTATTATCTTTGAATCCTGTAATTTTCAATTGAATTCCAGAAACATAAAGCGAGCATTGGAAGAATGAAAACCAATGGAAGATCAGCGCGCGGCTCAAATGTACAAATAGAAATAAATGGAAATATACGGACAGTGTGTATAGCATCACGATAACTTCAAATATCACAAAATGGAAGTGAATTTCGTAAGAATTAGCAAAATACATTTCCACAAAGTTATACTTTTTCCGTAGTAACCACATAACTCAGGTAGGTAAAAGTAGATGATTGAATATTTCATTAATAACAATAATTATTAATAGTACTTTTTAATTCAAAAAAAAAAATCTAATACAAATTCAATCGCTACGTAGTGTACCATAACGTGACCCCCTGCTCATCATGTAATAAAATTAACCAAAAACCAAATCTTCTTTGTATAAGGTCAATTTCGTTGCTAATAAGATAACAATTTTATTAGCCTAAGCTTATCCATACAGCTTAAACAAAAGAAGAAATAGTAGATGGATACAAATGAGAGCACAGAGAGAGAGAGAGAGAGAATGGTATAATTGGATCATTGCTATGATCCCTCCGTTAGAAGTGATAACCAAGTGGGTCGAATCATTATTGTCGGATGGTAGTACGCATGATCGGTATTAATCGCAAAGTTATTCAACGAGAAGATAAAAGACGGGATTTAAGTATATAATGGATAAAAAATAGAATGAGTGGATTGTATCGAAGAGTTTCAAATAGCAAGATCAATCAGAGTACAGTAGTTGAACTTCTTATATTAAAGGTTCATTTAGTTCTTTGTACACTAAAAATTTGACCCTTCTTGGCATATCTCATCTATTTATTGGTCTGTTAAAATTCCTCTTACAAATTAATACATATTACTTACCTACCTTATTAATATGAATGTAAAGAGTGGCTTGATCCTGTGGATGTTGTGAATTGTTTGTTACACATCGTAAAACACCAGCCTATAAAAAACTTCCCAATTTTTTCAAAAAAAAGTTTAAAATGATTTCCTTTAATTTTTCAAAATCATTATCACAATTTATCCTCAATTATAAACTAACCTATAATCTATTACAGACCAACCTGTAATCTACAGCGCATATTCTGATACAAACAATCATAACCAACAGGTTTAACTGTTAAAATACCATCCGATAGAGGCATCGCTACCGAATTTGGTTGTGCAACAATCCGACATCGAATATGGCCATATAATGGTGGGCCATGATTGGCTGCTGCAATGTTAATAAATGTAGTAATTTCATGTAAATGAAGTGAGTATAGAAAAAGTGAGATTTCGAAGAATTAATTTAATAATTTATACAACAAAACTTATAATAGCTTAGAAATTCAAGTCCTTTTCTTTTAAATTTTCTTTAATTTGACAAATAAAAATATAATTTACGAATGAAAAATCGCTCGATATGGTACTTCGAGATCAATAATGATAAGTTTTACTAACACAATAGCAGCAGATAAATTTAATTTTTAAACTGGTTTGAGATTTAAGTTTTTAATTTTGCGCTGTAGAAACTTTAAATCCAGACAATTAATAAATTACTTTATCAGTTATACAAAAAACAGAAAGTGGAAGAAATATGACGACGGTTTCATAATTATATACTCTTATCAATCTGTTGAATGGATTTTAATAAGTACCATTTGGTGACAGATGAAGGTCGTAAATTCCGGCTTTCGGTTTTGCATCACTCAAAGTCAGCGTTGTCCGACCTAACAGATGAAAATATCTATTGTTTGAACCGTTCTGATTGACACAATTGCTGATAACTTCACCGTTTATTAATGGATCGAATGGCATCATATCATCACTTAACCAATTTGTCTTCTAAATTTCATTAATTATGTGAGAAGCTTCATAAGAATTTGAAAAAACTAAAAAATATAGCGCGCTAAAAGGAAAAGAAAGGGAAAAATAATTAACATAATTAGTGCCAAATCGCCGTCCAAATGAACGAGTTAATTTCTGCTTTAATGATTGATTCGTATCACCGCCATCTGTTCGTAATGCGTAAAGCTGAATTTCAATTTCGAAATCCACCGGTTGATTTTCACTAAAATATCCATGATTTTTGTTTCAAATATCAAATCAAAATCAAATTATTAAAATTCTTAAAATTCCAATCAATTCGCAGCTAATAATAAATTCATTAGTTTCTTTCCAATTTCATTATCTCAAAATAATAATGAAAAATAAAAGTTTGAAAAAGGAAGATTATATTTCTACATATATTTCGAAAAAGAAAATATGAAATTTCAAAAAAAAGAAAAGTGCAGGCAGGCCTAATATTCTATGAAATATCAACTAGTGAACAAACAAAATGAAAGAATCGTTAAATGCCACATCTGTACATGTGCGATCAACGGCTGTTACAATACGGCTGTCATTAACGTTATTAGTGGTTTGGAGTGCCACAAACATCGAATATACTTTTCCTTCTGGAAAAAATTTTATTATTAATACTGAATTTGCTCTGTTAGATCGAAGGTTTTGTAGAATGGTAATTTAGTTATTAGAATAACCGCTCAGATTGTTCATACCAATAGAAAGAAATCAATAAGGTAACATTCCGATAATAAGAATTCAGAAGAGAATCGAATAAACGAAAAATCAATCAAATTTCATATCTCATTGATTATTCTAAATGGAATTGAATTGGATGCATCGACAAAAGCTTTTTAAACATATTAAAGATTAGCGTAAGCTCAGATTTTCCCGAGTTTTTAAACTACTTTATAAATATATTTATACAAACCTCCACGTGTTCCGAAATGTTCATCGCTATTCCAAGCTAACGGCACTGATAAATGTGATACACCAATTCGAGCTCTACTTGGACCATTTGATAAGGTTGAAGAGCGATATACTTCCCTCTTTCGAACACTACAAATTCCATTTTTGTTAAAGAATAAATAAATTTTCAAATTTAATTATAGACAAAGATTTGTTGAATTTTTAATTTAATTTAACAAAAATCGACACAAACGATTAGATTCTAACAGTCATTTATTTTTCTACACAAATAGTTGAATTTAAATATCCATCTATAATAAAATACTGTTTTTAAAATCAAAATTAGAAACTACAGAGTGAAGTATAATTAGAAATTAAACTATCAAATAATCGAAGAATGCCAAAACATACTCTGCGGTGAAGAATTTTGGATGTTGTAATTTTGTGGGTAATACAGTTGTGGTTGAATGAGACTCTCCTACAAGAATGGATATAGTACCATCATTTGAATTCATCATATTCTAGTTCCAATATAAATTCTCATCCAATTACACCATTTTCTAGATAGCTTCATATCTTTACTACCACATGCCTTATTGAATTTCTGAAAAGTTTTAAATTTCTGCTTGAATAAAACTATTGCAAAAACGCACAACAATTTATAAATATGACCACTGACCAATACCGGGAAAACTTGTTTTGAAATATGAGCAAATAAATTTGGATGAATTTATCTATTCTAAAATTTCAAATTCAAAGAGCAACGGGAAGAAGGGTGGAGAGAATCTATATCAATCATCAAATTTCAATTACAGGATTTGTTTATAATTGGCACACTGCTCGATGTAAATAAATCAACAGCAATTTTGTAATATTATCTATTTATGATTTTTTATAAATGCTCGCAATCTCAGATGTAATCGAAAAGATATTTATAAAAATTTCAAAAGTGAATTCGAAAAGCAAATATAACACTTTCCCGGGAAACAAATTAACAAATAAATGCTTTATAAGAAGCTTTTTGGGCTATTTCAATCCATCGAAAAGCTTCCAAGAAAATTTAATATAATACAAAAAATATTTTAGTAATAGAAATTTTAAAAATTTAAGTTAAAATTTAATAAAATTTACAACGTGCTCGTAATAATATTTCAATTGGAATCTATCAGTATGAAATAATAGTCCTAAATTAAAGGCCATGGAGTATTACTGATTCAGATTTCGGTTAGAAAATTAAAAATTAATTTTTCTTCTCATTTATTCCACTGAAATAGTTTTTCACTCATAATTTTAATAGAAGATGAATGAATATTATCCTTATCATCAATTACACTTTCAAAAAAGATAATAGCTGTAAGAATAATTATATATAATTTATATCAAATAAATATATAACAATGATAATTTTAACCACAATCAGTGTTTTTTTCGCTATCAATTTAATATGATAAGTTAATATCATCAAATTAAGCTATCGGAAGATAAATGAAATACAAGTATAGTGTTAAATGAACTATTAAAACATTTTTACCGAACTTCAAAATTAAAATGACGTTTATTTGCCTACTATTTGTTGATAAATACTTATCCAATAATTTCGATAAACTATTTGTTGATAAATACTTATCCAATAATTTCGATAAACTTTCTCCATCCCTCTCTCTCTCTCTTTTCCTTTTATAATCTTCTTCAGAAGAAAGAAAGCGTACCACATAAAATGGCCGATTTTACCCACCTAATTCAAAAGTCATTAAAAAGTACATAACCTATCTCAACCAAATCAAACATCAGAAAAATATTTACTTTCATCATTTAACGAAATTTTGCTTTTCTTTCCTATATGAAAGATTCGTTAAACTTTACAGTAGTCTCAGCTTAATTTTTAAATAAGAAATTAGATTTAATAGTATCTTTCAATCACATTTATTTTGCAAGGTCAAATCTCTCTGTAAAGGTCAAATTTTGCAGCCTAGTTAGACTGTTTCATTTTTCAGCTCAGAAATTTTCCAATGAAACTATTCTAAGAAAAAATTAACCTTATCATTTAAATGTTAAGATTTTGATTTTTTTTAAATATTAAAAATGAAGTCTAAGGAAATGAAAACAAAAAGCAAATTGGTAAATAAAATTTATTTTGTAAATTGTGCTCGAAATTTTTTGGTACGTGTAAAAGCGTACGTAATATCCGTGCAGCATTCTCAGGAGAAGAAACAAGAAATAATATAATTTTCATACATATAAAATATATCTTGAAATAAAAAACGTTTAAATTAACGGGCAGCTGTGACTAATTTCTTATTAGAAGTTCAATGAAAGGTTTAAGGGAAAATAGCCATAGTGGACAACATTAAGTGGACAGCCATAAATGAGGCAATAAATGGTTGTATACTGTTAAATAATAACATTCATCGCAGGAAACTGAAATTTACAAGATGTTCGCGTTGTAATGCTTCGTCGATAAAACATTGTATTTTTCATTACTACAAGAAAGATGGAAAGACTGAGGAAAGAATGAAAATCAAAATTTATTTAAATATTTTGTTAATTTTTACAAAATTATTAAACTATGCGCTTCTTCCTTTCATCTTTTTCAAATCTTAACTTAAAATACGGATACAGAAAAACGGAATAACCTTCCGTATATATTTTTTTCTGAAAATAACAGATACTTTTTCATTATGTAATACAATATATCGGCCATTAGTCGATGAATTATGTAAATGATATATGACGCTAAATTTCCCATTGCAAACAAATATTTATAGTAAAAATGAAATCATTCCGCTTACTATATGTAATGATGATAAATTCAGTTTCCGGATTTTATTGATTAAAGAATTACGGTATTATATTGGTTTACTTAAAGCAATCAAATAAATATATGTCCAAAAATGAGTTTAACACATAAAAATGAAATAATCTTTAGAAGATTTTGTTAACGAAAATGTGAGATAACTGGCATGTAAGTAAAAATTTGATAAAATGAGAAGAAAAAGGAAAAACAAAAGTAGGAAAAGGAAAAAGTGTGTCAATATAATAAATGTGTAATGAAGGGAAATGATGGATGCTAGTTGGATGGCGGTTTTGTCACTGATAGAGCCATTTTGTTTGTTTTATGTTATCTTTGGATCATGGCAGATAATTATCATTTTATCTTTGTTATATAGGATTATTATAACAAACGTTAACAAAATTCTATTTAATTCATTCATTCATTCATTGTGCAATTTGGTAACCCAAAAAATCTCTTTGAAATTTTTAAAAAAATTTCTTTCTATTCTTCAAACTAAATTAATTTCTTTTATTTCTCTTAATTGTTGCAATTATAGAATTGCAAGAAAGAATGAAAAGATTAGATTAAAAAGAACAAAAGAGTACGCTATCATTGATACTTTCAACTAACTTTCATTTAAAAACTTTTCATTCCAATCAATAATGAAAACATAATAAAAGAGTGTAGTAGAAATTTCAATATTTCTCCCATATGTTTGTCCCTAAAATTTCCCAAAAAAAAAATTGGAATTAAAAATTTTTTTTAATAAATAAATTTCTGATCGATTGTTTTAGAAAATTCTGAAATAACACATAATTTTTAACACTTAACGAAAGATTATTCTTCAGAATGTCTGCAAAAGTTAGAAAAATAAACAAATAGAAAATGTGAAACTTAAAAAAACGAACATTTTGAAGACTGAAAATAAGAGAAGAGAATAAGTAAAAATGAGTGGAAATTTTTCATGAACAAATAATCTTTAATAACCGGTATGGGTTTTCCGGTTTTTTAGTGTATTCTATTAAAAACCCAAGTATATTTCTAAAATGAGAAAACTTTTAGCTAAATAAATTGCTCGAAAGTGACCAAAACAATACGGGTCAAACAGAAAGAGAGAAAGAGAGAGAGAGCAAAAAGGATGGTCGTAGATCATGGAGAGGTCAGATCACCTCTTATATCGATTTATTTGTACATATCATATTTGAATTGCTACCATATAATAGCATATTTAACACTCATTTAATTTTGAAATTCTTTTAATTAAATTAATCGTTTTAATGAATTTGAGCAATTTCAGTAATTATTTCATCATTCTTTACAAGAATCTAAACTTAAGAGAAAAAACAGCAAAACTTTTCCCCTTCTTTAATCTTTTTTTATCTAATTTGGTTTACCTATTGCTATATATGTATGTGTGTGTGTGTGTACATGTAAGTAATGAGAAGATTATCTGGCAGGTAAAAGATTGAAGAGAAATACCGGGAAACTTTTATAAAGTGATTGTAATTCAAAACAAGATATTTTGTTAGTGATGTTTATATTTATATATAGGTATATACAATATAAGCATAGACAGACAGACAAACAGACACGGGCACAAATACACACACATACATATGTTTAGATAAGGATGCAGGCAAAATAATTTCTAACCTAAACTCAAAATACTGGAAGCAATATTGTTAGGCTATTTCCTGTCTGTCATCATCCATTGATTTATTCATTCATCCGGAATGACATCCGCACAGACAGATAAGTACATTTAATTCGTTGAATGGTACAAACACGTCACACTTTTGCAAACAATAATTATATCTCTACCAAATAATGATTACATTTCTACCCGAATGGCGGCATTGGATTGTGATTGCCAACAATCAAAGCTTCACAGTATTCTTTGTACACTTCATTTGACCCTTTCAACAGGTACAACATTGAGTAATAATAGGAGACTATTGATAGATTTGAGAATGTTTTTGTTGTGACATAAGGGACAAATGTGGTAGATTAATTGATATTGGGAACAGCTAGGAGGAACCCAATAGCAGATAATAAGTGGAATAAAATTTTTGTTCTAAATTAATATTCCTTTATGCTTAAGTAATATAACAGCGAACAAGGCAAACTAATGAGACAAATAAATTTTTATATTATAAAAAAAAAATATTCTCAATTTATAATGATCGATTGTCCGGAAACGATTTCAGGAATGATTGCAATGAAAAATGAAATAAGTAGAAATTAATTTTAGAATGGGCCAAACGATTTTTCATTTGTATTTCTGATAGGATAATGATCATTCAGTGCCATTTCTCAATTTAATTTCCAATCATTTTTAATTAATATAATTCCAATTGCCGGAGGAAATATAAGCAAATTTTTAGTATTATCTGAGAATATATTCCAATTTATTCTTATGCTTTCATTTTTAATTTATTCTTATGCTCTTTTCTTTTAAATATTTATTTATATCTTCGAAATCGGAAGAAGAACTATTCGAACATGACAGATTATCTTTTCATCAGATAACTAAATAATTCATTCCAATAAGATATAAATAAAAACATTTCATTAAATGAAATGTTTTAAGTAAGATTTTAAGTAAATAAATGAGCGGTAAAAGCGTTTGTATTTAAATCATTAAAATTATGCAAATTTTTCATTTATTAATTCTATACGTTATTTTTCAAAATAGTCTAATTAAAAGATGAATGATTTTACGACGAAAGATTACAACGTTTGCAA